ACTGGGTACCACAAAATGTTAATTGGTTATTTTAAATGTAAAACCAAAGCAAAGTCACAAAATGTTAATTGGTTATTTTACATGGGAAACCAATCCAAAGTCACTACGTACCACAAAAATGCTAAGATACTATGCTTGCTAAAGTATTTCTTAGGCGGCACCTTGTTTTTTAACAGCAAGGCGCCCAATGATATGCAAGCTTATGCCGGTGGGAAGTGGGATTGTTGAGTGCCGATGTAAACCAAGATACATAAGTCTCCAAATGTCGATAAGCAGGTTCACGTCACATACTCAAGTACACACACACATATGTTAAAACCTGCTATTGACAAAATATGCGGATGAAAGCACAAATGAAAAATAATAAAAATAAATAAATGCTACCACACTCATACGCACAAGCATTTTTTTCGGTATAATTTAATGCAAGTAAAATTCTACGTTGCCCATACATCCCTGCACAGTAGAATGCATGGCATCCATGCAATCCATCATCCAAAATTTTGTAGGTCGTGAGTTAACATTATGCTACATTCACACTAGGTGGTTCTTTGATTAGAAAAATAATGTATATAATGCCAAGTTTACACCCACCGAATTATGCGCTTGCACTCATCAAAATGTTGCGCCTTTCATACCACTCGCCACCCAACAATACATATATACGTTATAATATCCACTGCAACGATATCTGACCCTATTTCAGCCGTAACGATGTCTCATATCGCCACTATGAGGAAACGAGCCGAACAACGCGCCCACCGCTATCCGCTACCGTGCCGCCTATGCGACGCACACCACCCGATTAGGCTCTGCCCTATTTATCGGGCAAAATCGCCCGAGGAGAGACTGCGCGAAGCTCTACTGGGCCGCTATTGCGCAAACTGCCTTGCCATGACCCACCAGCTAAAGGAGTGTCAAAGCGAGGGAAGATGCCGTAGGTGTGGCGAGAAACACCACTCAACTCTGCATTTAGAGGATGAGCCAACGCGCCAACGAAAATGTGAGTCATGGAGGGCACGAGGCAATGAAGGCGACTCAGAGGAACCAGTCCCCAAACCATGGAGTGTGCAAGTGGAAGAAGCCGAGGCAGACGGCACTCTGTCCCTATACGCGTCCGACTCGGGAACCGAGACTAGGCCTCCCGGTCCAGAGATTGAAGAAGGGGAAGTTACTGAGCGCGGAGCGGGGACTCGGCCTCTCCGCCCGCTTACGAACGGGGGACCGGAAACACGGTCTTTCCGGCCTCTGCTGCGGCATGAACGCAGAAGTACGGCTGGATCCGAAACACGGGTTCACCGAGCACGCCACCAAGGGCGACAAAGCCGCAGAGCGGGAACTCGGCCTTTCCGCCTGCGCCAATCCACAACATTTCAACACGAAGATAGACTGGTGACTAGGCCTCGCCAGCTATCACGACCGCACGCTTTTCGAAATACCATAATAACGCCATCACTCCAGCCCACTATATCCGTGGCGCCGACGGCTGTTGTAAAGGTGGAGGCGAGAGGGCGCCTACATCTGGTCCGCGCGCTTATTGACGCTTGCGCGCCGAACACTATCTTGTCCGCGGATCTGGCCCAAGAGCTAGGGCTTCAGGAAACCTATATCGGCGGGCAACGAGGGTGTTTCCTATGCATAAGGGGCAAGCATGGGCAGAACAAGCGGGTGGCGACCCATGCGCTTATTATACCCCGCTACAACCATGTCTCACCTAGGACTAATGTGGATCCCTCAGTTGCTACGCCGTATATCCACATTCGGCTTGCGGATCCAAATTTTTTCGCATCAGCACCGATACGCCTTGCCCTTGGGTCGGACGTATATGCGGACCTAATCTTGCCCGGAACTTTACCGACGTCGTTTGGCCCCCTCATTGCGCAAAGCACTATTTTTGGTTGGGTGCTGTCAGGGGCGTGCCGGCCGTAAATTTAACTTACATAAAAAACCAAAATAAGATGTGAATTATTTGAATTTTTTGTAATGAAATAAAGTGCATTGAATTATAACCATGTTTGTATCCCATGATTTTCACTCTATGATTTACTAGGTGTTTTAGGGGAAAAAGGATGGAACCGCTCGTCGAAGATCTTGGTGATGGTGGCGCCGCTCTCAACAGCACAACCTACATGAATTCACACACTTGTTTTGTAGTTGTAAGAACATATGAAGCTGGTAGCTCGGGCGTTTCCCAAGCACAGATGTTGCGTCCCGCAAGGGGGGCGGCATGTTTAGGCCTTCAGCCTAAATATTTCAAAAAAACTCCACCCTAATG